GTTTTTCAAGACAGGGTTTCTCTGTGGTTTTGGAGCCTGTCCTGGAACTAGCTCTGTAGACCAGGCTGGTCTCGAACTCACAGAGATCCGCCTGCCTCTGCCTCCTGAGTGCTGGGATTAAAGGCGTGCGCCACCACCACCCGGCTGAGCTACAACTTTCAAATCACCAGTTCCCTTGGTCTTGCTATGTATGGCCCTGGCCTGGAACTTTGAGCCAGCTGTCAGGCTGTGTCACCAAGCCTGGCTTTCAGGCATCCTTTCTTCTTCCTTCCAGACAGGGTTTCTCAGGGTAGCTTGGCTGTCCCAAAACTCACTCTATAGACCAAGCTAGACTCAAACCCACAGAGATATGCCTGCCTCTGCCTCCCGAGTGCTGGGATTAAAGGTGTGCGCCACCATGCCTGGCAGCTTCCAGATAGCTGTTAAACTTCCATGTAATTGAGACTAGGCCAGAATTTAGAGACGGAAGGTTGAAAGGAAACTATTTCTGCTCCTAAAGAGTTTGTGCACTGCTGGAAGTCAAAGACATAAACATCTGGGTCAGACAGACCTGTAGAAGGGGACACAGAGGGCAAGGTTTCTAAATCTTCAAGGCCCATAGTGAGGAAAACCTACCACAGCGTCCATCGCTCACACCCATCTCAGCCCTCACGACACAGGAGCACTGTGAGTTCCAGGCCAGCTTAGGCTACACAGTGACATACCGACTAGAAAATCCACCCTCCCTGCCAAACAAAATTCCACATCAACTGATATCCACTCCCACTTCCAAATAGTTCCTGGTTTCCCACTCCTTGTGACTATTCCTTACATAACCATTGCTTCTCCATTTCTCACAGATTTAAACATGAACACATCAGTATACATGTATGTTTGATCTCCAGGAAGGGTTACTCTAATGCTTTAAGTACAGCAGGCATGGGAATTTGTCTAGATTCAACATCTGTTTGTTGTTACCAGTAAAACAGGACACAGAGGGGACGGCTACAGCTTTAACTTTTACGCCCATCAAACTCCTCCTAGGTGTGACCAGAAATACTCAATGTATGTAGAGGGTACTTGTTTTGTGCCTCATTGGAAAGGAAGCACAGCCCTGGCGCGGAAAGAACTAGAGCAGGCACTTTGGGAATTCTACTAACTCTTCCTGACTTGCTGTAAAGGTTTAGCCACTCCCAGTGTTTCTGCGTGACTAATGGTAGTGACTTAAACCAGACACTGAAACCTCCCTCTGACACTCAAGGTATCCGACCTTCATCAAACTGGTTACCAGGGCTGCAGAGACGGCTCAGTGGTTGAGAGCGCTAGCTGCTCTTCCAAGGACCCGGCTTCAATTCCCAGAACCCACATGACAGCTCACAGCCGTCTAACTCCGGTTCCAGGGGACCTGAAACCCTCATACAACAGACATACCTGCAGGCTAACTGGTTATCAGTCTTAAGTCTCAGGTTGATAGGTCCACCCCCAACCCCACCACCCCCGCGGCCATCCCAATCCACAGGAGCTGCTCCTCCCACTGGGAGAGTGGGGCGGATGTGTCCCAACTAGATAGTACTGCACTGAGATGTGAAAACAAGTAAGAAGGGCAAAGCAGACACAATATAATTAATATAACGTCAGGGAAGCCTGCTTAGCGGGCCACAACTCTCTCCTAAATGAGCATCACATCCCCAATCCTTGGAAGACTCACCGTCACCCCATATTTGAGAGCTAGTCCAGCCAGGGTATCTCCAGGCTTCAGCTGATGCTCCAGGCGTCTTTCCCTCACTGGGGAGCAGGACGATTGTACCAGGCTTCCATAAGAACGAGCACGGCTCCCTTGCAGCAGCCCTGACCCCCCGAGTGGGGGCTGTCTAGAGGGAGAAGCCATCTCCTCGAGATGCCAAGACCTACGGTCACAACTGAGGAAAGCTTGGCTCCGTGGCCAACAGTGAGAGCCTAACGCAAGGAATAGAGATTCAGGGAATTCCTTTTCCGTTCTCTCGTTTCTCTTCAGTCTCCTCGCTCTCGAGAGACTACATCGGTCTTCCTCCTCTTTCTGCTGCTTACCGAGCGAGCACGGGGTCACAGCCCGTACCCGAAGAAGGTTGCCAGACCGGTTACATCTCTCCTTCCTCAAGCCCCTTACTCATAAATATCTTGCCTGAGTTGTCAGTCGCTGCCCCCCTCGACTTTCGACGCCCCCCTCCAACTCCTCGCAAGCCTGATCTCTGACCTCTGAACCCTAGACTCCCTCACCAACACGCTTCCCTCAGTGTGCCCCCACCTCCCGCAGCCAGGCCGCCGGGAGCGCCCCCATCCTCTCGGCTCCAAATCAGGCCCACCCAGGTGGGTTGTGGCTGCGGGCGCTGAGCCTGAGGATTGCGAGAGTTCGCAGTACACAGTCCACTGAGACTCCCGAAGCCTCACTCCACATCGGGGTGTCCCACCCCGAAACGCCGGCTCCGCATTCAGGCTCCTGGTCTCCAAATACCTGGATCCTTCGAGATGCGCGGGCCTGTATTCAGGTGAACGGTAAGCTCTTCGAAAAATAGGAAAAAATAATAACTAAAAGACTTCATTTCCCAAGAGGCAAAGCGTCCTCAGGGCGTCAGAGGAAATGCAGGCCCCCTCAGGGCGCTGGAGGCGGGTCTTCCGGCTCGCGCGTTGCGTGCGTGGAAATGCATCCTCGGAAGTACAGGCTCAACTTGAAAAAGACAGGAAGCAGAGAAAGCGATAACCTGCTCTTCCTACGGTGGCCTGAAGGAGAAGCGAAGTAGGAGAATTTATTATTTCTGGGACTCACAGTTGCGATGTCTTTCAAGAGGGAAGGGGACGACTGGAGTCAGCTCAATGTGCTAAAAGTAAGAAGCCCTAGTGTGATTCAGACCACGGTCAAATGGTGGCTCACGCCTTTAATCCCAGCACTTGGGAGGCAAAAGCAGAGTTTGAGGTTCGAGGCCAGCCTGGTCTACACAACTAGTTCTACGACAGCCAAGAAGGCTATACAGAGAAACCCTGTCGCGAAAAACCAAAGAGAGAGGGAGGGGGAGAGAGAGAGAGACTGAGAGACTGCTCAGATTCAGCTGCACTGTTAGGGGACCAGAACTGAGTGATGCCTCCTTCTTACCCTATGGTCTGCATGGCCCCGTTCCATTTGACTCCTTATCCCTTTCATCCATCCCACTTACTCATTTCTCCTGTCCTGCTCTCTGCAGAAACGACGGGTTGGAGACTTGCTGGCCAGCTACATCCCAGAGGATGAGGCGCTGATGCTGCGGGATGGACGGTGAGCGTGAAGGGTGGATCAAGCCTGGGGATTGCGATCAGAGGCTCAACAGACTTTTGTTACTGAGTAGTTCAGGAGTATGGTAGGATTTTTTGGTAGGAAGTGGCGATTGGAAGAGGCGGAGAGCGGGAGACCTGGGCGTTAGTGGAGTGCTTTGACAGACGGAGCCCCTGCTCCAGCAGGAACAGCCCCACCCGAGCTCTGGAACTCGCACGGGTTTATCATTCACTTCACTTCTCCTTTCCGTAGCTTTGCGTGTGCCATCTGCCCCCATCGCCCAGTACTGGATACCCTGGCCATGCTGACTGCCCACCGTGCAGGCAAGAAGCATCTGTCCAGTAAGTATAGGGGAAGGAGGGGAGGGAAGAATGATGGAGAATAAACTCGGGACGTTTCGTTTAGCAAACCCCCTGCTGTTGTGCTTTGCATCCCCTTTGCTTTTCAGGTCTGAAGCTCTTCTATGGCAAAAAGCAGGCAGGCAAGGAAACAGAGCAAAATCCAAGGCAGCAGAAAGACCTGAAGACAGAAACCAAAGCTGAGGTGCGAGAGTGGGTCAGGTGTTCCGGCTGTATTGCGTGCTCCAAACCTGAAGGGACCTTTGCTCTCGCAGCTCTGATCTGTCTCTTTCTGCCCTAAACAGGCGCCTTTGCTAACCCAGACCCGATTGATCACGCAGAGTGCTCTGCACAGAGCTCCCCACTATAACAGCTGCTGCCGGAGGAAACACAGGTCTGTGGACTTGGACACCCGAGTGGGAAAGGGTAGAAGGAAGTAGATGCCTCTAAAGTTATTACTCTCCAAAGTGTATTCTGAGCAATAGTAATATTTACTGTATTGTGGAGATGTTTAAAGAACAATGAGGGAGCTAGAGAGATGGCTCAGAGGTTAAGAGCATTGCCTGCTCTTCCAAAGGTCCTGAGTTCAATTCCCAGCAACCACATGGTGGCTCACAACCATCTGTAAAGAGGTCTGGTGCCCTCTTCTGGTGTGCAGACATACACTCTGACAGAATATTGTCTATATAATAAGTAAATATTTAAAAAAGAAAGACAGACAAATGATAGTTTATGACTTTTAAGATGAATTTTAGAAAGTGGAGACTAGTGACTTTGAACTGGGCGGCGGTGGCGCACGCCTTTAATCCCAGCAGGCAGGTCTCTGTGAGTTCAAGGCCATTCTGGTCTACAGAGTGAGTTCCTCGTCAGCCGGCAGCCCTGGGTGCATAGTAAGACTCTGTTCCCTGTCTCAGTTCAGGAGCTCAGCTCAGGAAGCACTGCTCTGAGGGCTTGGGAGGCACGGCAACTGCTGCTTTCCTTCCAATGCATTGCAAGACTTGGGTTCTTCTCTACACAGACCGGAAGCCCCTGCTCCCTCTGTCTCCAGTTCTCCTTTGCCAGCCCCAGAGGTTGGACTCCAGAGTGCAAAGACCAATAGGGAACCCGAACCTAATGCAGGATCGCATGCCAAAGAGTCATCTGCTCCCATGAGCCCCACAAAACGACGAATTCTGAACCATTACCTTACCCTTCGAAGGTTAGTCCGCCAATCACATTCTTTGGGTTGCCTTCAATTTTCCCTGACCCACCCTTTTCAAACCAATCCAGCTGCTTTTTTTAAAATCACCAGTAACTTTTTATTTAAATTACATTTATTTATTTATGTTGGGGTACACTTGTGTAAGTCAGAAGGCGACCTATGGGGGTTGGGTCCTTTCTTTCTACCCTGTGGGTTCCAGGGTTGGGACTCAGCACCATGAACCTTATTCATAAAATTCTTCTCTGCTGGGCAGTGGTGACACACACCTTTAATCCCAGCACTTGGGAGGCAGAGAATGATGTAGGATTCTCCTCTGTATGCTGTGAATATGTTTTATTACCTAAGTGGTTAATGAATAAAGCTGTTTCCGTCAGTGGCTTAGCAGAGCAAAGCCAGGCTGGAAATTCAAAGAGAGAAGCCGGGCGATGGTGGCACACGCCTTTAATCCCAGCACTCAGGAGGCAGAGGCAGGTGGATCTCTGTGAGTTCGAGACCAGCCTGGTCTACAGAGCTAGTTCCAGGACAGGCTCTAAAGCCACAGAGAAACCCTGTCTCGAAAAACCAAAAAAAAAAAAAAAAAATTCAAAGAGAAAGAGAGAGAGTGTAGGCGGAGTCAGGGAGACACCGTGTAACTGCTGAAGGAGAAAGTGCCTATTGCCTACCAGTGGGCCACAGCTGTGTGATACACAGCTTGATAGAAATGGGTTAATTTAAGATGTAAGAGCTAGCTAGAAATACACCTGAGACATTGGCTAAACGGTGCTGTAATTAATATAGTTTCTTTGTGATTATTCGGATCTGGGTGGGAGGCGAATCTCTGAGTTTGAGGCCAGCCTGGTCTACAGAAGCGAGTGAGTGCCAGGACAGACTCCAGAGCTACACTGAGAAACCCTGTCTCGATAAACAAACAAACTAAAAGACCTCTCTCCTGACCTATTGTCTTTTCTCTGATGTTTCCAGCTCGGGATGGGTCCCAGATGGACAAGGCCGATGGATAAAAGATGAGAATGTTGAATTTGACTCGGATGAGGACGAGCCCCCTGATCTCCCCGTGGACTAACAACCCCTCTACCCATTTCTTCCACAGATAAACTGTAGTTGTTCTGGGAGCCTAATGGTCCTTGTTCGACCTTAGGATTTCAAATCTGTTCATCTCAGCCTGGCCACTCCTTTCCTGCAGTGTCCATGGCTCACCACACTCTGACCCCTCCCCCACTCTCTACCAAAGCCTTGCCAAGCGTCAGCTGCATTCAGCCCGGTGCCCTATTAATAAGTCTGTCAGGAGGAGGTCCCTGCCCTTGGTGTAGTCTGACTCCCTCCCCACCTCCACCCTCAGTCCCTTTCCTTCAACTCACATGTGGATGGCACAGAAGCTCTGGCCACCTCTGTCTGCAGAGAGCACTGCGGCCAAGTGCCCTGGGAAGAGACTGAAGCCTTTGGCAGATTTATGGGGAACACAAGGAACAGAACTCCCCCTCCTCCTAGTAACCTGAACCTCCCTGCCTGTTGATCCCCAGAGTATAAATAATCCCTTGATGAACTGGCAGTAACCCTTGAGGGGTAGCGCCAAGATTCCCACCCCAACCCAAGGAAGGAGACAGGCGGCGTGAACAAAAGGGATTTTATTTACAGGAAAGGGAAGAGAGATGAGGACTTATGTGTCCAGGGCTCTCATCTCTTGTTAGCAGAAGGAAGGGTGACGCTATCTCTTCTTTTGCTGGCGACCTATCAGGGGAGAACGGTGACACAGCTTCATCTCTGGTTTTGGCAAGGGCGTGTTTCTCTTCCCCTTTCCTTAGACTATAAACTGCTGCCCCATGCCACCTGAGGGGCCTGTCCCATGTTAACAACAAATCAAGAACACACTGGGAAATAAGAGGATGTGTTTCTGGGCGGTACTGTCATGCCGAGCTCCCACCCACTTCTCTACAGATGTGTGCTGGGGGAAGATGGACTTTGTATCTGTTTCTCGCTCATTCCTCTCCGCGTGTGTGTGCCAGCTACCCAAGCCTCCGTCACTAAGTCTGTTTTCAGTGCCCATCTCGTCTCTACACGGGCTCCACAGCTACTTACGCAGCTCGTTGTTCCGGGTCATGGCCTGGGCCGCCCGAGCTCGTGGTCCCTGTTGTGTAAAGTGGTACCCGAAGCGCACAATAGAGGGGCACTGCTCCAACACAGTGGCCATTTCCATCTCCACTGCATCACCAGGCCATTGGCGCTGAGGAGAGAGGCAGAAGCTGTCAGAAACCTATGGTTGTTGAGCCCAGCCACGGGCCTCAGGGAAGTTATGAGGCTTGTTTCTCTAGAGTAGGTGAAGGCAGTGCTGGTCCCCTTGCTGCCCAATAAGCTGCCCAGGGAGGAACTCAGTGGGTGTTAGCTGGATGAGTGACCCTGGGGAAGGAATGCTGACCTGGTTGTCTACACGGAGCTCGGTAAGAGTGGCGTTCTCCCGAACTGCCTTCAGCACAGCCATGAGCCCTGTGCTGCTGATGAAGTTGGATTCAATGTTCAGGCTCTGGAGACTACGGTTCTCACGCAACATGTCAGCTACCGCCTGGGTGGTAGGGGCTTGTGTTAGTTAGGGTTGGGGACAGGTTCGTAGGTGACTGAGGAGAGGCAGAAGGGGAGCAGGAGGGACACAGCCCTTTGCAGTTCCCTGAGGAGCCAGGGTTGGGGAGTTGGTGAAAGCGTGAAGGTTAAGATCACTGGCGGGACCGAAGCTACTAGAGAAGGTTGTTTTGGGGGAAATGCCTTGGAACTTCAGAGTTGTGAGCCAGAGAGGTAAGGGTAGGGGCTCTCTGAGGGCTGCCATATAACTCATGATGGGAACAGCACCCCCTAGTGTGACCAGAAAGACAGCCCTTGCCAGGAGTGCATGACAGGGTATGGGAAGAGGACTGGGGACAGCAGCCAGCCTTACATTGGCGATGGGGTCACCACTCTTTGTGGCCACCAGACTGAAGCTCCGGACATAGGTGTTAGTCTTCATTGCTTCACATAACTCACTGAGCACGGGTATCGGGATGTCCTAAGGGACACAGGATGGGGACTAAAGACCCTCATGCCTCCACAGCTATCCCTGCTACAATTTGGGGGTGGGGGTCAGATACCTGTATGTTATTGAGGTTCACTTCCTCCAGCTCTTTGTCATTACTCCGCACTCTCTTTAGCATTTCCTCGATGTTTGTGGGATTTGGGGGTTCATCTGGTACTGGCTTATACTTGTCAGGCTGTACCACACCTGGTGGGGATAAGAGCCGAGAGGGAACCCCAACATATCCCTCACTCCATCTCCCCACTGGCCCTCTAAACCTTCATGCAGCATGTCTCACACTGGAGCCTCCTCAGCCCCCGGAGCTCAAGGGGTCGGGGTGGCATGCTCCCCCAGCACACTCACTGCTAATGCCTTCGGTGTTACAGATCTCCCCGCTGCAGATGGCATCGTAGTATTGCTTGTTGCTCATCAGTGTGTACATGCCCAGGATGGCTGGTGATGGTAAGCAGAGGGATGTGGCAGTTAAGGCACCTGCCACAGGCCTGCCTCCTGCCTCTCTCCTGAAGCAGTTCTACAGCCTGACCGTCCACTCTTGCGGAGTTTCTCACCCTCCCTCAGCTCCAGGAATCTCTTCCATGCACCTGCCTTGGAGTGATTTCTAGAACCTGAGAGGGCTCAGGGAGCTCCTTGAGCCGCTAGAGGGTGAGGCCTGTCTGCAGACAAGATCCTCTGCTGCTTTCAGCCAGAGTTCCACCCTCATCTGCCTTCACAATCCCTGGAAGGTTACTCCTGGGATGTTAACTTATTAAATTAAAAAAAAAAAAAAAGAATGAACCAGTGTACAAGCAAACAAATAAAAGTTAAAAATCACTGCCTTAGGCTTTCTCAGATGTCCATGTTCTGGCTTGGACTTTTCCCTTTAGTTCTGTATCAAGGTAAAGATGGCACAAGCCCCATCCTCCCACCTTCCTTGACTTCCCGGCTGCTCACCTGCAATGTCACACATCTCAGCATCTGTAGCATGGGACAGTGCCTCCTCCAGCTCGGGCTCTAGCGTAATCTGCTCCTCTGCTGGGATTTCCCTCTTGGGCTGAATATAGGGTTTCCCTGATAGAGAGATGAAGGACAGTTCAGGAAGAGCATCCACCTTCCTTTCTTTCTCCATGTGGGGTCAGACTGAAGCCTGAATTCTCCACAAGCACAGGACCCTTGAGTCCTGTCCTCTCCACTCTCGGAAAAACTGAAGAGTACATACATGCTGGTGAGGCAGTGTGTGTCTGCAATCCCAGCATTTGGTAAGCTGAGCTAGCCAACCTGGGCTACACAGTGAGATCCTACCTCAAAAAAAAAAAAAATTTGAAAACAAAAATCGAAGAGAACAAACTAGCATGCAGGTGTCCAGCACTGGAGTTCCTGACAGATGGCTGCTGGAAAGGGGAGGGGAGCTAACGGAAAGGTGCCAGGGACAGCCATTTGCTTCCTGTAGGGCATAGATGTTAGGGTGCCCATACCTTTCTTCTCGCCAGTGAAGGGCACCAAGTCATCACGCTCCTTGACTTCTAGTGCCTGTTGCTCCAGGTACTGCAACAGGGCATCTCGGTCTAGTGGCCCTGTTGGACTCTTCTTTGTCTGGTCACGTTGTCTCAGTCCAGCTGGCAGGAGCATATTCTTAGGAATGAGTTTTGGGGAACAAATCAGGCACTCTCCAGACATCTTTTCCCTGGCCCTTCTAGGATTCCAGGTCCTATTGGTAGCCCCGGTCACAGCCACCCAGCATCCACTCCTTCCCGCATGTGTAGGGATGCTCCGGTCCCTGTGCTGGTGCCCCTACCTCAGGGTCCATTTCTTGTAGCTCACAGTCCAGCTGTTCCAGCTCCTCGGGGCTCAAGGTCCTTAGGATCTCATCTTCATCTATGTCTCTGTATTTCTCCAGTTCCTTCTGATATGATGACATGGTGGCCCCTACCCCTTCCCCACCGTGCGCCACTCAGCCTGGAGGGATATGGGAAAAGGTGTTGAACATGGACACTGAGGACACAGAAGTCCAGCCATGGTTAGAACACTGAGCTAGACACCTTGGAGACCAGGGTCTACTGTGGATGGAAAGATTAGACCGTTCATTGTTACAGTTTCCTTCCTGGTTCCTGCACTTTGCAGCCATTCTGGCTGGGGAGTCTAAGCTCCAGGCTGGGTCTGTGCACCCACTGTGATGGAGAAAAGCTGGCAGGGTCCTCCCCTACTTTACCCGACAGTGTCTCTTGCCCTGACACAGCTGCTGGAGGCCCTGCCAGCACAGCTGGCTGCATGCCCAGTTCCCACTGAAAGGTGGGAGGGGGTGACAGAGAGCTCCAGGGAAATTCCTCCTCTCTTCCCCAACACCCAGGCCTCTTCCAAAACTGGTAAGTGAGGAGAATGGCTGGGTTGGATTGGCGGCCTCCTATGCCATTTCTCATTTCCTCCTTTATTGTAAAGGACCAAGATCTTACTTTTTGTCTTTGCTAAAATTCTAAACTGTGAGGGGAAAGTAAGGCTTAGAAGCTGGGGCACTTCCAGATTGGGAGAAGGGCAATATGGCCTCAGAAGGCATTCGGTTCCCATAATCTGTCACCAGAAAGGTGACACCAGAGCTCTGGACAAAAACAACAAAGCCTTCTAAATGGGGTAGTGGGACGAGTAAGCTTGCAGCCTTTTACTGTGTGGAAAACGCTCCCAACCTCTACATACACATCATGCTTAACATGGAAGATGATCCTGAAAGGGAGACATTAGCAACATAAGCCGCAGAGAGTCAGGACAGGGACGTCGCAGAAACATACAGAGTGACAGAGGCAAGGACACACCAGCTCACTTCCCCTGGGGCCACTCTTCCTTCCTATCACCCACCAGGCCCTCACCCAGAAGACCCCTCTTTTCCCACCCACCAGTCCTAGCTGCCACCTCTCACCTCCCCTTGTCAGTTGGTCCGTCTGTTCTACTAGGGCACCGTCCGGTCAGCAGGAGGAGTCTGGTGCCGGGGGAGAGAGTGGGGGAACAGTGAGCTCAGCATTTTATTATTTTAGCTCTGGCCAGGTGGGGAGTGGTGGGAGATCACATATACACAGACCCCATACCTTGCCCAGCCCTGAGAGCCTCTAGTGGCCAGTACCAGCCATGACACCTTCTCTTTCCCTATGAGCAGAGTCCTCCAGGGGAGAATCAGATGACTCCCACTGTGCGGTGCCTGCTCCTGCTCCGTTCAAAGCACCAAACATGGGGTGGTATGTCAGTGCAGACAGACAGTGCCTCACACCCGTATTCCCGCCACAGGGGAGGCTGGGGCAGGGCTGCTACAACATGGAGAACGATAGCAAAACCTTTTGTTTTGTTTTCGTTTTTTTTTTTTTTTTTTTTTGAGACAGGTTTCTCTGTGTCGCCCTGGCTGTCCTGGAACTCGTTCTGTAGACCAGGCTGGCCTCGAACTCACAGAGAGTTACTTGCCACTGCCTTTCAATTGCTGGAATTAAAGGCATTTGCTACTACTTCCTGGCTACAAAACATTTTTTTAAAGGGGTGTGGGAGCTAGAGATGGCTCAAGTGGTTCTTCGCTGTACAATTGTGAGGACTGGAGTTGCCATTCCTGCACCCATGTAACAAGCTGGTCATTTCACACATGTTGTACCCCAGCTTCTGTGGGTGGCAGAGACAGAGGATCACTGGAGGCTGCTGGCTTCTGATAGCCTAGAAAGCATGGCCCCAGACTCAGGAGGAGAGGGAATTACAGAAGACACTGGTGGCATCTGCGCACCACCCACAAACACACGCTCTCTCAAGTAAGGATTTTGATTTGGTATCTAACTTTAGTTGAAAGAACAAATACTTTAGAATTAAATATGGACAACCCATGTAATGACATGCAGTGCGAGATGGGACCATGGATCATATGGCAGGAGACAAACACGCCATCAGAGCTTAAATGAGAGGGAAGTTTACTGGGAAGGGGGGGGGAGAGAGAGAGAGAGAGAGAGAGAGAGAGGAAGAGAGAGAGGAAAAGACATAGCAGAAAGAGAGCGGGAGCGGGTGGAGCCTGTCTCTTAAAGGAACCTTTACACCTAAGTAGAGTCAGTACGGAGCCTCTGTCAGGTTCCCCCAAGGGACAGGATCAAGTTTACATTTGCCTGGATAACAATAAAAATATTTGACAGGATCAAACAAAAGCATCTTTATGAAGCCAATTACTTTGTATAATACATATGTACTAATAAAAGACAGAGCAGGGACTGCGATTTTGCCTCTAGGCCTAGAACTTGGAAGGTTGAGGCTGAAGGACTGCCTGAGCCCAGGAGTCTGAAACTAGCCAGGACAATTTAGTAAGAACTTCTGTTCTAAAAATAAAGAAACAAGGCTGGGCGGTGGTGGCACAGACCTTTAATCCCAACACTCAGGAGGCAGAGGCAGGTGGATCTCTGTGAGTTCAAGACCAGCCTGGTCTACAGAGCGAATTCCAGGACAGCCAGGGCTACACAGAGAAGCCCCGTGTGGAGATTTGAAAAAAAATAACAAGGTGGTTTGAAAGTTCATAAAAAGTGCTATAAAACAATAAAAAAGGTGTGACAGCCAAGACAAAGTCTAGCACTTGGGAGGCAAAGGCAGGGAGATCCTGAGGCCAGCCTAGGCTAGAGACCCCTGTCTTAAAAAAGAGAGGAAAAAGAAGAGGAAGGGAAAGAGGGAGAAAACATACAAGGCTGAGGGGGTATCTCAGTGGCGGACCATTTGTCCAGCATGAACAAGGCCACATGTTCAATGCTATCACAAACAAAACTAAACAACTCAAATATACCTATACTCTAACACATTCATATCTTGCCTCCAACCCTACACACCACACAAAAGGGATTTTACCATTTTATTAGAATTGAAAAAACAACAAAACAAAACCAGAATGAACTAGGGAAGGAAATGATTTAAAACAAAACCCAGAGCAAAGATGAGGGAGGACAAAGGGAACGGCGGACCTGTGAGCCCAAGTCGGCAGAAGAAAGATGTTTCTAAGGAGCAAGCGTCTACTTGATGACAATTTTCTGCCGCAAGGTCCGGGGCCCAGAGCCAGGGAGTGGCTCAGGGGCCGGGGGACCGGGGCCGAGGGCCGAGGCAGTGGGTGGCAGTCCATGGGCAGTGATGTACTTCTTGTAGGCCTCACGAATGATCTTGAAGGCTCGAGCAGTGGCATAGGGTATGTCTGTTACAGGGTCGCGGTACAAAGCTGGACGGTGGGTCACTGGGCAGACCTCCCGCACAGGGACCTTCGGGGGGCGCCCTTGGGGGAACCACTCTTCAAATGTTGCATCATCACTAAATGTGATGAAGGTGCGTGAGCAGTGAGCAGGAGCGCCAGCGGCTCCAGTCCCAGTGTGTGGGGTCAATGCAGAAGCTGCAGGAGCAGGATCAAGTCTGAGGGCAAAAGACAGAAAATACAAAATGCTGAGGAGAAGATAAGAGGCAGCGAGAGGAAGAAGCCAGGCTGGGTGTGGTAGTTCATGCCTGTAACATCAGTTCAAGAGGTGGAGAGAAAATGATTCCCTGAGTTTTAAGCCACTGCAGAGACAACAAACAAAAACAACAACAAAAAGCTGGACATGGGGGCTGGAGAGATGGCTCAGAGGTTAAGAGCACTGGCTGCTCTTCCAGAGGTCCTGAGTTCAATTCCCAGCAACCATGTGGTGGCTCACAACCATCTGTACTGAAGTCTGGCGCCCTTCTCTGGCGTGCGGGCATACATCAAGGCATATGTTGTATACATAATAAATAAATAAATCTAAAAATAAAAATTAAAAAAAAATAAAATAAATAAAATTGGGTGCAGGATGAGTTATTAAAAAAAAAAAAAAAGCTGGACATGGGGCTGGAAAGATGATTCAGTAATTAAGAGCACTGGCTACTGGGCTGGAGAGATGGCCAGAGGTTAAGAGCACTGACTGCTCTTCAAGAGGTCCTGAGTTCAATTCCCAGCAACCACATCTGATGCCCTCTTCTGGCCTGCAGGCAGAACACTGTATACATAATAACTATTTTTTTTTTTTTTTTAAAAAGAACACTGGCTACTCTCCCAAAGATATGGGAGCCCAAAGTGTGACTCACACCATTTTCTACTCCAGTTACAAGGTATCTGTCCCCTTCTTCATACTCGCAAGCAAAACACTGATACACATTTAACATAAAATAAATAAAATAAAAATGCTAGTCGGGGAGCATGCCTTTAACTCCACAGGCAGATCTCTGTTTGAGGCCAGCTCTGGTCTACAGAGCGAGTTCAAGGATAGCCAGGACTGCACACAGAAACCCTGTTTCAGGAAACAAGCAAATAAAAACTAGGCATGATGATTCACATTTGTGATCCCAGTACTAAGTACTAAAGAGAAAGACACAGGTAGATCATGAGTTTGGGACTAGCCTGGGCTACATAGTGAGTTCAGGCCAGCCAGAGCTACAGGAAGGGATGAGATCTGAGATGTGCGGTGAGGAGTGTGATGGGGAGAAGCCAGGGGCACGGGAGTCACTCACCCTTCTACATCCACATTCTCCTCCTTGGGACCGGGCTCCCCGACGAGTGGCACTGTCATTGAATGGTAGGTGATGATCGGCCCAGGGCACTTCCGCTTCTTGTGAACCTGCTTCTTTTTGTCAGCCTCAAGCCTTTCATAGGTCTCTTCAGGAGCAAAGGAGAAATGAGGAAATAATCAGTTTTCCTTTTCCCACACTCTAGCTCTGGCTCATGGTCTATTTAAGTTACATTTATTTATTTACGAGTGTTTATGTATGTGTGTGTGCACACATGCAGAGGTCAGAGGGAACTTTATGGAGTCAGTTCCCTGCGTATATCACGTGGATTCCAAGGATCAAACTCGGGTCAACGGGGATGTTGGCAAGTGCCTTTACGACTGAGCCATCACAGATCTCATGGCCCTGTCCTATGATCTTACTTGTCAATCTAATCACTCCCACTCTGGCACAAGTCCTTCCTTTCTCAGATACACAGGCTCCTTACTCACTCAGTACGGGAAGAATCTCAGGTAGGCAGAGGCCTTGTGATAGGAACCCATCAGTTCTCAGCATATTCCTCCCAACCCCACAGCCCGGCAACCTGCTCTTCACCCCAACATGACGACCAGACAGAGTGTGTCCAGTTCTCAGCTAAGATACAATTCCTGAGGACAGTTCCCCTTGTTTGTCTGTGAGGGAGACATGCTCTCCTCAAGTGGCTCTTGCTGGCCTTGAACTCAAAGAGATTGCCTGTCTTTGCTTCCCAAGTGCACCTTTAATAGTTGGGACTATTAAATGTGAACCTTCTAATTATTCTGCCTCAAATCTCCATTCCTCTGGTCCTGCAGGGTCAGCTTTTCTCCTGCGGCCTCAGTGTCTCCACCTCCTTTCCTCCAACCACAACTGACCTAGTGATCGTAAGTTCAGCTCCTCTGTGATCTTGGCCTCCCTGAGCAGCTCTTCCTGGGTGAGTGGTCGATCACAGTGGGGACCCTTCCGCCTCCGCGACTGTCCCTGCCTCTCTTGAACCCGAAGGAAAGTCTGCCGCGTGTGCTCGGCTGTAGACTGACGCATAGACTTCCGACCTGCAAGAAGTAAGATGGGAAGAAATCTTTCAATTCATTTCTGTAGTCTCTCTCTCTTTTTCTTTTTCCTTCCTTCCTTCCTTCCTTCCTTCCTTCCTTCCTTCCTTCCTTCCTTCCTTCCTTCCTTTATTTTTTTTCTCGTTAGACAGGCTTCCAACAATGTAGCCCTGACTGTCCTGGAACTATGTAGGCCAGTCTGACCTTGAATTCAGAGATGTCCTGCCTCTGCATCTGGAGCAACGGGATTAAAGACACGTGCCATCATGCCCAGCTAAAAATTAAACAAAACAAACAAAACCAAAAAACAAACAAACTCAACAATTTAAGCTTACAAAAAATATGTAGGTAAAAATTTAAAAAAATAAAAAAACAATTTAAGCTTATAAAAATGTTAGTAAGCGTAATAAAATAATGTCTGCAGCCTTTAGTCACATCATCTATTGGAAACATCACACCCTGTTTCCTTCTGTAGATTACTTTTTTTTTTTTTTTTTTTTTTTTTTCAAGACAGGGTTTCTCTGTGGCTTTGGAGCCTGTCCTGGCACTAGCTCTGTAGACCAGGCTGGTCTCGAACTCACAGAGATCCGCCTGCCTCTGCCTCCCTATTTTTTAATGACTTAAGAATTAAGTTGTATACAGATTTTCTTAAATATTTTAGTCTTTTTATTTTTTGTGGTATTGGGAAGTAAGTATGTTATCACTGGTTAAATCTCCACACCTTTTCATAGTTATATTTTATTAGTACCTTAACCTTTTTTTATTACATTTATCTATGGGGGGACAGCACATGTGGAAATCAGAGAATTTTTAGGGCTTGGTTCTCTTTCCACCATGTGGTCCTAGGGACAGAACTCAGGTCATTAGGCTTTGCAGCGAACACCTTTACCTATCAAGACATCTTCACAGCGAACACCTTTACCTATGAAGACATCTTCTCAGCGAACACCTTTACCTATCGAGACATCTTCTCAGCCCTCATATTTTTTATTTTGAGACATTCTCACTCAACTGTTGGATGGCCTTGAACTTGCGATTCTCTGCAGGAAGAGCTCTGATTACAGGCCTGCACCATCAGGCCTAGGTCTATTTCTAAGAATAAGAATTTCCTGAGCTGAACAGCCGGCTAGGTCGCTCAAGTGCTTGCTGAGCAATCATGCCACTGCAGCTCAGACACTGGCACACACGTAACAACCCTCCCCCAGAGAATGGTACCTCTAGCTCTTCTGCTTTTGCATGCATCTGTGCACACAAGTGCACATACGCTCAAGTAGGCACACGTATACACATCGACAGGATCCTCCTTACACATAGTAGTTATCACCTTGGTAAACGTAACGCAGAACATTTTAACTCACTGTCAGAGCCGTCTTCCTGTAGCTCCAGGGGCAGCAGTGCCTTCTCCTCTCTGGCCTTCTGAGAGCTACTTGCTGGGGTGCTGACCTTTCGAGGCCTCAAGCTTTTTAGAGGCTCCTGGGGACAAATTAGAACCACACACAAGAAAACATAAGAGATAAGGGTAAAGGTGAGGACTTTATCAGAGAAAACTAGCACCCAGTAAGAGAATACAATTAAGGTAGTCCAAAGAGTACGACTTTAATCCCAGCACATGGAGGCAGAGGCAGGCAAACATCCTTGAGTCTGAAGCCAGACAGGGTTGCACAGCAAAAAAACAAAAAACAAAACAACCCGCCCCAATCCCACACCGCTCCCCCCTCCCCACACACACAAAGGTTTCCTTGGTGTCCAAGGAAACCAAAGGTTCCTTTGTACCTTATAGGCTTTGGTGACAACCCTGCGCTTCCTTCTGGGCTCTTCTGCGTCTCCGTCACTGGATGGTTCATCTCCTTCATCAATGTCAAAGTCGGAGTCTACCTCATCCTCCGTGTCAGACTGGTCCCCCTGATATTCATCATCTCCAGATTCCTGAGGACAGGGGAGGTGAGCCCTAGTTCCAGGGGCTCTGATACCCTCATACAAGCACAACACCAATGCACATAAAAATAAAAAATTAAAAACAACAACAAAAAACAAATTCAAAGCCATCTTTGGCCATGTTGCTAGTTTGAGGCCAGCCTGAGGAACATGAAACCTTGTCTCAAAAACACAGAAACTGGGGCTAGAAAGA